CAAAATATTTCAGGACTCTTAATTTTTAAAGAAAAGAGCAGAAAAGAATTTCCCTTTTATTGATTATCTATTTCATTTTTGGTATAGATTTCAATACAGTTACTACTCATATTTTAATTTGTCCAAATGACAACTACTGACCGGTCACTAACTTTTGGGGAAATTACTCAAGGAAATACACGGGCTCCAAAAAGAGATGCTTCTTGCCCCGTGCTGCTCAGGAAGGCCCCTAATTCTTTTCACATGTCTCACCTGACTGACTACTTCCTTTTTGTTTTTACTATTTTTTTTTTTGACATTGGGTGGAGTCTACTTCCTCTCAAAGACAGTCATCAGTGTATCTTCCTGAGAAAGTAAAGATGTAAGGTTTTTGCCTTTGTATCGAAAAGTTTTCTCCAAGCTCATAGTTGTAGCCTTTTGGAAAAGTAAAAATGCCACCTTCTTCTAGGTTTTGAGATTTGTCCTACTGTGTTTAATGCATGGTGAAGTCCCACGGCTGAGAAAGAAATCACTCGTCCTTTATTTCATTCATTTTCATAGCTGATTCCCCATCCCTCAGGATCTGTAGAGGTATTTGTCGACTACTCACTTGGATGACCTACAATTCATGAAAATCCTCTAGCTCTTGGTTGGTCATGAAGTTCTGTGGATTTTCTGCCTTTTGAATCCATCCCCTCCTTTCCATTCCACTGCCACTGACTGCCGCAGTGCAGAGCCTCTTTATGTCACGGCCACACTTCCAGTGCACTCCAAAGTACTTGCCTTGTAGCCTCTGTCTTCCATTCCTACTCCTCTCTTTGCTGCCTACCATCTTTCTTCATAGAAATCTGATTGTATCACTGCACTAATTGCAAAACTTTAATAGCTCATCATCTGCTATTAAGTCTCAACTTTATTCAAGTCCATTTGCAATCTAACCCCACCCTACTTGTCTCTGGCCATTCCCTCCTGCCCTGAAGTTCAAGCTGAACTGGCTAGCGTGCATTTCCCACATCCCCCGACCCACTATTTCTTCCTGCTCCTCTGTCTGGAATGCACTTACCTTTTCCTCCTCTTTCTTCATGGCCAACAACTCCTATGCCACCTTCCCAGGGAAGCCTTTATTGTCCTCTGCCCTGGCAGCTTCCTTCTTGCCCATCAAAAGTGCTTTGGACACACCTCAAATCTGGCCCCTATCCCCTATCCCAGTAGAGGAGTTGAATTGTCAAGTATGCAGATGTTGGAGCCATCTTGCCTGGGGTTGAAGCTTAGCTTAACCACTTACTAGTGCTGGAACCGTAGTCAAGTTACTAAACCTCCCTGCTGCTCTATTTTCTCATCTGCAAAGTAAGGGACATAACAATTCTTTCCTCATTGAGTTGCTGTGACAGTTAAATGTGTTGATGCATTTTAAGCCTTGTGAACACTGTAAGTGCCATATAAAAGTGTTAACTATCATTTTATTTGCTAAGTGCACATCTCTCTTCCTGGTTTGATTGTGAACTCCTAGAAGACAGGGGCTGTCTTACTCATCTCAGTCCCCAGTGCTCAGTACATACTAGGTGATTGGTACATATTTGTTCCATGAATTGGTTTATTATTACTCTGCGGGTTGTCTGTTTGTTCATTGGGTTAACTGGCAAGCCAACAGAATGATTTCCAATGAGCTTGTATTCCCCAGGGTGGATCAGCAACTGGTTCCAGCCCTTGTGTCTAGACAGGCTTATAACTGCTGTGTATGTGGGTGACTTGGCTGGGGTTTTTGGTTCCTCTCAGCCTGCCTTCCTTATCTCTAGGCCCCGTTCCCTGTTTCTCGGACAACCTGTGAATATGGGGTGTTTCTTGTTCTACTTTATCCAAAGGGGCTTTGTAATTTATTGCCCTTGTCCTTGGTTGGAAATGTGTCCTTTTTCTATTGTGAAAGTTTGGTCTGTTTGGCATGCAGAATGGGAGAATATGCCAGGATTTTGGGAGGCTGTCACAGCTGAATGGGAGAGAAAGAAAGGGAAGCTTCAGAGACATAAGAGTGAAGAGGGCACAAAATATCAGGAAGGCTGTCATTGCTTGGGTTCACCTACTGTATGCTCTTGTCCAGTGATTTAACTCTTGATCATTTGTGCAAGAAATAATGAGTCATTGCTGCTCAGGACTTTGCTGGAGAAAAGGGTTCTATCTTAAGTCTCTCAACTAAAGATGCCAATGGAATTTGGAAAGGGTTTAGCAGAAAGCAATAAAGACAATTCAGAAGCAGAGGCCTAGAGGATATGAAAGATAATTCTAGGAACTGGGATGGGAGAAGGAGATAAAATTCAGTAACTGATTACAAGAAAATGAAGGGTGCTTACACAGACATCTGGAATTTCTACACACCTGTGCTTTAGCGGAGAAATTTAGGGCTGCTTTTAGGCATATGTGGCTGTTTCTGTGAATAGAAAAGGATGGCAGCGAAGACAGTTTTGTCATAGCTCCTGTTCTCTCCAGCCCAAACACTAGCAACCCCTTCATCACCAATGCTCAGAGGGTCTGGAGTAGATGAGTCATGTTGCAAGGGCATGTGGAGACCTTCCACACCAGACCCTTATCTCTGTTTCCCTCCCACTGGCCCTTTTCCCCGCTCTCTGTTCTGTAGACTCCAGAGGACTTCTGACTGGGCAGAAGTTCTCAGCTTTTGATTCCTCTTTTGAAGAGAGTTGATCTTTTTAAAAAAATCATCTTCTTTCAGAGCTATTAATAGAAACCAGTGACTGTGACTTCATTTTTCACTTTTTCCTCTTCACTCCAGATCCACTTTTCCATTGATTTCAGTCCTACTTGTCTTCCCATTTTCCTTCTTTCCCACTTTTTGGGCTCCCCACTCTTCTCTCTCTTGCAGTTCCTTATGACCCCAGATTCCCGGTGCTGGCCTGTTAGGGAGGAGCTGTGGCATAAGCCAGGGCCTGGCATCTGCCTGGACACACCACCCACAGCCCTTGGTGACTGTCAGCCAGCTTTGGGGAAATGACCTGGCTGGGACAACCCTGGGGCTCTGGTTGCTTCAGCTGCCAAATTGCTTGGAGTCCCTGGCCCACCCTAGGAGCTGGGTTGGCAAGGATCTTAGTTTCTGTTTTGTGTGACTATGAGTGAGTTGAAATCTTACTCTGTAATATCATTTCTTCATTCTTTCCACATTTACTCTGCACTGCCACACGTCAATTACCTGCTCTAGATATTGGACAGGCAGAGATGTAAACAAGATCCAGCTCCTACACAGAGCTTACAAGCTAGTGAGCCATCTGCTGCTTTTGTAAAGAACTATAACACAGTGTGAATAGGATGTTAACAATATGGGTGTTATTAGAGGGTTTCGTGGAAGTGGAATGGGAAGGAACCTCTCATGAACAATTTTCTTTTTGGAAGGGGTAGGTGGATGGGAGGATGCAGACAGAAGTGTAGCAGAAAAGTAGAAAGACTTGGGTTAGTAGACTAGATGTGTAGTCTCAGCTGTTCACCAATTAACCTAATGTCTCAGGCCTCAGTTCCCTCATTTGCAAAACAGGGGCAATAACTGTAGCCCACCTTGTGGGGCATTGTGAGAATTCATTGAGAAAATGCATACAAAGCACTTAGGACACAGGCACAGCTGCTGTGAGGATGATGATGGGGATGGCGAAGGACAGGCTGTGCAACTTTGGGAAAGTCACTTGTATACACTCGCCTCAGTTTCCTCATCTGCAAATGGAGTGAGTTCCACAGGATCATCTGTAATTCTGTTTAGCAACTTTTTTTTTCAGCATCTTGCCTGTTGGTGCCATTGGGCATTCAGAGAGGGTCAAGGCCTGGCCTCTGCCCTCCAGAAGGAGAGGGGACAGGCACGCACATGGATAACTCTAACAGAAGACACGGTCCCACAGAGCTGCTAAGTTCCTGAGCATGAGTGTTTGGGGAAGGGGTTTCCGGAGAGCTTAGTGGGGAGGCAGTGCTTGACCTGGGCTTTGAAGGACCAGTAGACAGAGATTGTGTCTTTCCTTGCTGAAAACCACTTTGTCCTCAAGACAAAGACCAAATTTCCAACTAAGCACACAGGTTCCTCATGATCTCCTCAGCTCCCTTCTGCTGCTTCTCCACTGTTCTTTCTGTGCACTGTGATACTTGCAATTCTTGAAACATATTTTATACCTTCCCATGCTTTCCTTCCATCTTTGTGCATGCTAGTTCTTTTGACCTGGGACTCCCTCCTCCCTCTGTTAGGAGACAGCAGAGGGGACAAGCAAGGCACTGGGGACGGACTGGGGGATTCATATCCTACCTTTGCCACTGAGAGGCCAGTGGGGCACCTGCTGTGTTCCTCAATCCCTAGGTGAGTCAATGTCTTCATCTCCAAAACGGGGATACTGGGTAACAACAGTGACTCCCTCAAAGGGCACTGGTGAGGATTAAATGCGGTAACATACGCAAAGTGCTCGCCAGGCAGGCCCACAGTAATCACTGAATAAATATGGACAGTGTGGCCCACTCCTACTTGCATTTCAGGTCCTAGCTTAGTCATCACCTCCTCTGAGGTTGGCTGTGTGCTCCCATAACACACGGATCTCCTCTTCTACCATAGCCCGGCACCTGTCATCCCCACCAGACTGCAAACTCTCCGAGGCCAAGAGCCTGTCGACTGGGTTGGCTGCTGGTGCGGACGCATAATAGGCATTCAGGAAATACTGAATGACACGGGGTGAGGGTCCCAGTGATCCGAGGGCGTGCAGAGGCTGTAGGGGGCAGTTCGGGGTGGGGGAAGGTCATGAGACCGAATGGGCAGGCGGACCTCAACTCTGCGGGGGACAGAGAGAGTGTGGGGGTCCAGGCTGTCCAGGGCTCCTTCTTGCCCTGGGACTGACCCTGGGAGGGCTCAGCACCCTGGGAGAGGATGGTGCTCAACTTTAACCGGGTCGGCGCCCTTGGGAGAAAATGCAGCCTGACTGGTCGGGTGAGCAGGCTCGGCCCCTCCCCGCCCCGGCCCGGCCCCGCCTCCGGCCCCACCCCCGGGTCTTCCCGGTGCAGCTGGAGCTGCAAGTGGGCGCCTTCCCGCGTCGCCCCAGCGCAGGGCGGGCCCCGCATGCTTATTCGGCCCGGGAGGAACGCCGGCGTCCAGCCCGCTACCGACCGCCGCTGCGGGATGCTGCGCTCCACGTCCACGGTCACCCTGCTCTCGGGCGGCGCCGCCAGGACGCCCGGGGCGCCCAGCAGGAGGGTGAGTAGCTGGGGGCGGGAGCCGCCGCCGTCCAGTTCCCCCATCCCGGCCGCCCTCTCTAGAGGGAACTAGGGATGGGAAAACTCGGGAACCAGCACCTGGCCCCGACGCCCCACCCTGGGCTCAGCTTCCCGGTCCTGTGCCGGCTCTGGCAGTGACCCTCCCTCTTGAGGTTTCAGGGGGCCCACCAGCTGGCAGGAGACGGCTTAGGGGACTTTATGGAATTTCCAGAGATTTCCTCTCCTTCCTGCCTCTCTGTCAAGCCGAGTTTATTGGTGGCACCAGTTTAAAAATCAAGGAAGGCATTTGTGCAGTGTCTCTACCTTGAGACCGAAAATAAAGAATGTATTTAAAACTCAAACTTTCCTTCTTCCATTAATTAAAAGAAAGACGGCGTCACTTGTGTCCACTAGTGATAGGGTAATTCTGGAGTGGGATTAGCCAAGCCGGGCACCACTGTGCAAACCAGAACAGCATCCGGCCGCCCAGGAGCCCAACTGTGTGGGACTCTGGTTTATGTAAACCACTTCTTTCTGATTTAAATATTAGTACAGTGACAACAGTGGCAGCACTGAAAGCCCGGGACAGCATCTCCAGGGAATGTTTCCCTTTGGAAGTGCTGTTTCTTTTTTTATCTTTGTGCCATCTTTTCCCATCTCTCCAGATGTTCTATAAAAGAAATACTCCATCTTTCTAACAGGGTCAACACCTTCGAGCAACTGCCAGGGGCTTGGCTGGTGGTTTTTTAGTTCTTCCATTTATCATGATCTTCAGTACTTATCATTTGGTACCTCTTTACTCTGAGACTTCTGTAATCGTGTTTCCTTAAGATTTAAACAGGTGGTTAAGTCCAAAGCAAAATCCCCACTGGTCCTCCCGTCTGCATGCAGGTCTTGGACCTGCTTATTTGCTTTTACATGTCTTAAGCGAGTGATGGTGGTCACCTTATAAGCTGTCTTTCTTTAGCTCTAGAAGAAAGATATGTTACTCTTGGGCATAGGCCAACTGATGGATTCTGAGGTGTGCGTGTGTGTGCACTCACCAGACACTTAGGTTGTGTACACACATGCACGCGCACACACACACACACATCTCAGAATCCATCAGTTGGCTCACGCCCAAGACTGACAGAACTCCAGTTGTCCAATCATTAGCATCATAGAATAAGATCCACATTGGGTCCAAGGGGGTTTCCAACCACAGTCCTGGCCTTGCTCTAAGTTGGGTGTTTGTATTTTTCTATGGAAATCTTTCTCAATTTGAACACAATTGCAACTGAGAAAGAATGAAGTCACTGAAAAGCTAATCCTGAGCCCTGAGAGGATCATATGTGTAACCAGACTGCATGAATTGCGTGAAATTCTCTGTAACTTCCCTTCCAGAGCTGGGGATTAGTTGGGGTACCTAACCTAATATGGTGGATTGATGCAAAAGTGACTGGTATACCAGATCACATTTCTGAAGATTTTTGCTCAAACATTTCCTTCGGAGTAGTTCTTTAATTGTAGGTGCTTTGGTGTCAGGCACATTGTGACACTCTTGAAAAGACTTTGCCTTTTGAATAAGATGGCAGACATATTTTGGACTGGAGAACTCAGGGCTCAGGTTCAGGCCATGCAGGGCTGTCCTGAATACACTGGTACTTGTTTCTGGAAAGAAGCTATCTAAAGGGTGTCGGGTTCCCCCCAACTTTATGGTTTCTAGCTCTGCTCATGATTTGCAGACGTTACAGGTACTATCTGTGTGTGTGCTGGGGATTGTGGGTGTGATGGGAAGCTGTGAGATGTTGATTAATTGATTTATTGAACATTCATAAACCTTTTTCTGTGTGGTAAAGGACTGGCATTGGGGTCCACTCTACCTGTAGAGGCAGACATTGTCCCAAACTAACATCAAACAAAGTGGTGATGGTTATAGTGAGGTGAAGAGTTTACAAAGTTCTGTAGAAGCTAAAATAAACGTTCTTCCTGAGACATCAGGGGAAGACTCTCACTACAGGTATGTTTTTTTGAGATAGAGTCTCACTCTGTCACCCAGGCTGGAGTGCAGTGGTGTGATCTCGGCTCACTGCAGCCTCTACCTCCCAGGTTCAAGCAGTCCTCTTGCCTCAGCTTCCTGAGTAGCTGGGACTACAGGTGCACATCACCATGCTCGGCTAATTTTTGTATTTTTAGTGGAGACGGGGTTTCGTCATGTTGGCCAGCCTGGTCTTGAACTCCTGACCTTAAGTGATCCAGCTGCGTCAGCCTCCCAAAGTGCTGGGATTACAGGCATAAGCCACCCCGCCCCGCCTACAGGTGATGTTTGAGTTTAATCTTGCAGGATGAGTAGAATTTGTAGGGGAATTGACGTTATTGGGATACTGAAAGGAGGAAATAATCATCTCACTGGAATACTTGGCATATATAGTAATGTACTGCATAACCACATTTCGGTCAACAACAGTCAGCATATATGATGGTGTTGGAATGGTAGGCTATATCATATCTCCTAGGTGTGTGGTAGGCTATACCATCTAGGTTTGTATAAGTGCACTCTATGATGTTTACGCAACGACAAAAATCACACATGATGCATTTCTCAGAATGCATCTCCATGTTTAAATGACACATGACTACTTTATGATGGCAAATTGGACCTGCTTTGGGACAAAATGCCTATTGTTTAGAAAAGCAGGAACAGGATGTCCTGAAAATAAAATTGTAGACCAAATAATCATTGGAAGTGTACCTGAAGTTGAAAGTTGTTCAGTAAATACTGTATTGTTCTGTTATTCCTCTCTGATGGTGGACAAGTGATGGTCTTGAACATGTTAGCCATTAAAATTGTATTTCTGGTTCATCCAAAGAGCTCACCAAGTTTGGGACTGCAGGGGAAACCAGCCTATGTGCGTCCAGATATTCAAGCCAACCAGAAGTGGTGGTGACAGCTGACACTGAGCAGGGACTCCTGCGAGCCAGCTGCCAAGGGTTATGTGGCTGACTGGACTGTCACCAGCTAGCCTTTGTTCAATGGCTGCCACCTGCAATTTGTATTTCCTTCTTATCTGAAATCATCTCTCAAGGAAAAAAAAACAAACAGGTGGCGAGAGTAATTTCTGTCAGCTGATAAACAAAGCTCTGAAAGGCATTTATGGATACCAACCAGCAGAAGTTGTGAAATTAAAAAAACTCCCTTCAAACCAGTTGTGCACTAAAAATAGTTTTATCTATGGCAACAGCAGGAAGACAAATTGACTGGAGAATAACCACAGCCAGAAGATGACCTTGGGGAATGGGGGGAAACAATTTTAAAAATATTGACTTTGCTTCATGCTTTTGAAAGGAATTTTATAAATGCCAGTTAGTCTTGCTAAATGGGCCTTTGAAATGGAAGGTTCGTTGTGTGGCTAGATTGTGTGCTTTGTGGGGAAGGCATGTGTTGCTTTGTGGCTTCCCCGCAAAGCACACAACCCAGCCACACAACCGACCTTTCAGCACGATACTTATTGCCGAGTATTTTTGGCTAAGCTGTTCCGCTCCCGGGCTGTGGAGTGATAGACCTGTCAAGGATCTTCTCCAGCACCTTGCTCTCTTGATAATAAGAGACTGTTGACTGGTGTTGCTGGTATCATGACTCCTCACTGGCACAGAATAAAAACAAAACAAAACCCAGCAAGGTCACAGGATAGGACTATCTCCTAGCCTGCCCTTGCTGATATTTCTTTCTATTTGGCAAAGGCTTCCTCTGTTAAACACTGGAATGGGCCTGCTAGTCATTGTTCCTTGGCTAATGTGCCCCTCTCTTATGTCCCATTGTTGCCTGACTGGCTGAAAGTACAGAATTCTCCTTAGCTGACTTCTGAATGATCAGACAGGTGTTTACCGCACTCCCCTTTCTCAGGAGACAGGAACGTCTGTGCACGTAAGCTCTCTATCATCCCACAGGTTCTGAGGAAGGGACCCAGATGTTGTGGGACCCTTGGCATCTGGTGGAAGGAAGCTGGCTACAGCATTCATTGGGGAAGGGGAGGTGGATCCTGCTGCACCCAGAAAACAGACTGGCTGCACACAGGGCCCTCCTGAGCCAGCCCCGATGGGCTAAGTTGTGAGGGTTTGGAACCATGGCGTCCTCTGGGCTAAGGGCAGGGCTTAAACCGCTGCTGGTCAAAAATGACAGTTGTAGGCTCAGAAAAAAAGGTGCTCAGCTCTATGCTTTTTTTCTTTCACCTTGCCTTGTTTGATATAGGATGAACAGACGTGAATTCTGGAGACTCGTAAGGAAACTTGATTTCTCCTAGACATTTATGGAGATCCCATGGCTTTTCCACAAAAGATGTGGGATGTAATTTTGACCCATTTGTCTCTGGGGCACTGATGGAGTGCTGTGTATGAGGTCCCTGTTGCAGTTCACCTATGCCGTGCATCCGTATATGAACAAGAGACCTGGAGGCTGGTGTCACCAAGCCCTGGTCACTGGGGAAGCTTTCAAGTCAATTAGCCTCAAATGTTCTTGTCTAATTGAGTTCAAGGAGCTGTGGGCGCAGGGCTGACTAACTAGAGACCATGTTAAATATTTCAACCCAAGATACTTCTCAGCACTCATCGTGCCTTATGGTCTTATGGAGTTCCAGTACTTCTCCAGCACACAAAAGAGCAATACAGTGGTGTTTACCTCTTTCCCTCTTTGGTGAGTGATAGTTCCTAAGTGTCAACCACACTCCTGGCTCTTTTTCACTCTTAAGGGCCAGGGTGATCTTTCTAAAATGCTAAATCTAGTCTCCTGACTCCTCGGCTTCAAGAGCCTCCTCGGTACTGCAAGGAAAAAGTTCACACTCCTTAGGGTAGCATCCAGGCCCTCTGGTTTGGCCCATGCCTGTCCTGTTTCCCCTCCCTATATGTACTCTTCTCAGATATTCCGAATCGTTTGCCATTCCCCTGAGCTTTCGATGCTGTTCCTTGCCTCTTTGCTTTTCTTCATGTTTCTCCTCTGATAAGGGTTGTCTCCTCCAGGAAGCCTGC